TATAATGGAGCATCTTGCCAGTATTCTTAAAGGGCTTCCAAAGGATTATCATCCGTTCATGACCGTCATAACGTATTGTGGAGATTATCTTCCCTTATATAAGGTTTATACTATGCTTGTTGATGCTGAAACACAACTTGTTGGGTTTCTGCTCAGGAGAAAAATGGTATTGCAGTGCTCATGTTGCTCATAGTATTGTGGTTGGTCCTGATGGTGGTGGACGTCCCCAACCACACTGATATTATTCTGGTGATCATTCTGAAGGTCGTGATTGAGGGAAACAACGTGTCTAGTGTCAACTTTGTGGAAAGGTTGGGCATCTGGTCAATAGATGTTGACATATGTTTGATGAGATGTTCAACGGTTTTACTGATGATGGTGGTCAGTTTCGTTCTAAGCAGGATTCAACTAATGCTCATGTTGCGGTTAGTGACACCTGTGGTTGTGATTGTCTTCGTGCTAAAAAATGTGATTAGTTGTCTTCAGCTCATGCAGATCTTGCTTCTGCTTCTAATCAGTGGGTGATAGATTCAGGTGCCACACATCACGTCACGCCTAAATCTAAAAATGTTACTCCCCCATGTTGAACACTTTGGTCCAGGTAATTTAGTTGTGGGTAATGTTTCATTGAAGGTTAATATGGTTGGTACTGCTGTGTTACCTACTTCTTCTTATCGTTTATTCTTAAATGATCTTCTGTATGTGCCTGGTGTAACGAACAATTTGATTTCATTTTTAAAGTATGCTAGGGATAATGGAGTTTACTTTGAGTTTCACTCAAAGGCATGTTATGTTCGTGATAACTCTATGACTGAGGTGCTACTTACAAGGAAGGTTAAAGACGGTCTATATGTGTTAGAAGATTACTCACCAGCTGTTTGTAATAAAGTGCATTGCTAATATTCATAACTCTAGCTTGTACGATGTATGGAATAGACGGTTGGGTGATGCCATTTATAATACTTTAGTAACAGCTTGTAAGGCCATTGACGTAACAATTCCTTCTAATGTTAATGGAAAGTGTGATGCTTGTTGTATTAGAAAAAGTAATAAGTTGTCATTTCCTTATGCTTCTATTTATAATGCTTCATTTGAGTTGGTGTTTACTGATCTCTGGGGTTCTGCTCATGTTGCTTCTAGAGGCTTTAAGTAATATTTAACATTTGTTGATGCATATTTTAGGCACATTTGGATTTATTTCCTGCAAAACAAGTCTCAAACTATTTTAATATTTAGGTTGTTTTAGAAATTGGTTATGAATTAGTTTGGGGTTTCCAATAAAGAAATTTAGAGTGATTGGAGTGGAGAATACATAAGTTTGTCCTAGGTTTTGTTACAGGATGGTTATTCACCACCTTACTTGCCCTTACACTTCTGAGCAGAATGGTGTTGTGGAAAAGAAACATAGGCATGTCATTGAACTTGCTTTAGTTCTAATTGCTCAAGCCTCTATGCTTGTGCATATTGGTTTTATGTAGCCATGACTGTGGTTTATACTATTAATCGATTACCAACTAAAGTGTTAGGAGAAATATTACCGTGTGAGCAACTTCTTGGGAAGAAACCAGATTATAATATAATGAAAGTGTTTGGTTGCAAGTGTTTTCTTCATTTACGACCGTTTCAAACACATAAGCTTGAGTTTCGATCTCAAGTGTGCACGTTTCTGGGTTATAGCCCTCAACACAAAGGTTATCTTTGTCTTCCTTCGAGTGGGAGAATTTATGTGTCTAGTCATATAGTTTTTGAAGAATCTATTTTTCCATTTACAAATTTGTCTAACAAGTCTCCTGCAGCAGGTGTAGCTGATTTGTCTGCAAATGAGCCAACTGAACTAGAAGTTATGGCTGGTGAATGTTTGTCTACAGTTGAGTCTGATGTAGTGTTGGCTTCTAATAACCACACAACTGTACAAGCTGTTGATGCTACCATCAATATACTTGAGCAGTTAGTCACACATGCACCTGTAGTGAATAATTACCCTATGCTCACAAGGAGCAAGTGTGACATTTTCAAGCCTAAAGCATTTCCAGTGACGTTTGAAACTGTAGAACCCATTAATGTGTATGATACGTTGAAGTCTTCCAACTAGAAAGCTGAAGTTCATGCTGAATTTGATGCTTTGCAGTGTAATGGTACATGGATTGTGGTAAAGTTACCCCTGGACAGTCAGTTGTAGGGTGTAAATGGCTTTTTAAATTGAAAACTAATACAGACGGTTCGGTTCATCGCCATAAGGATTGGTTGGTCACTAAAGGATTTTCTCAAGTCCCAGGACAGGATTTCACTGAGACCTTTAGTCCAGTGGTTAAGTTTGCCACACTTCATGTTGTCTTGTCTCTGGCTGTGGTTCGACAGTGACAGCTGTGCCAGGTTGATATCAACAATACATTCTTAAATGGAGAGCTACATGAGGATATGTATATGCAACAACCTCTAGGGTTCGAACAATATGCTGAGGATGTCAGTTAGTTTGTGTGTAAACTACACAAGGCATTATATGAACTTCGTCAGATACCTCGCAATTGACATGCTCGATTAAAATAATGTCTATTTCAGCTAGGGTTTGCAGAGTCTAGGGTTGATATATCACTGTTTATTAGCAATAACATGGGTGTTTTTACGTATATGTTAGTGTATGTTGATGATATTGTCATTACTGGTGCTTTAGATATCGAGATTGAAGATATAGTTCGACGCTTGGGTACTGCATTCTCATTTAAGGACCTTGGAGAACTTGACTATTTTCTTGGTATTGAAGTTAAGAAATGTGGTGAATCTCTTTTTCTAAGCCAACGCAAGTTTATACTTGAGCTGTTGATGAAAGTTAATATGGATACTGCCAATTCTGTGGTAACGCCTATGACACTAACCAAACTGCAACAGAATGTTGGCGATCTGCTCTGTGATGCTAAAGAATATCACAATATTGTTGGAGCATTGTTGTATACTTGCCACACTCGACCAGATATCACATTCAATGTAAATAAAGTTGCCCATTATATACATGTCCCGCGTTAGGGTCATATTCTTACTGTAAAACGGATTATTCGCTATCTTGTTGGCACTCTTGATTATGGAATGATGTTGTCTCCTTATGCTTTGGATGTGAGGATGACGACATTCGTTGATGCAGATTGGGGTGGTAGTCCTGATAATAGAAAATCGATATAAGGATATTGTGTCTTTGTAGGTAATAACCTTGTGTCCTGAACCTCCAAGAAACGAAAATTTGTTTCCAAATCCACCATGGAGGTAGAGTATCGTAGTGTGGCAGATGCAACATTTGAGGTAACTTGGTTTAGATCACTTCTTTCAGATATGGAGCTTACATAGCAGTGTGTACCAGTTGTCTGGTGCGATAATAGTGGTATTGTTGCCATGAGTAGCAATCCAGTGTACCATGCAAAAGCTAAGCACGTTGATCTGGATATGTATTTTGTGAGGGAAAAAGTTGATTCTAAACAGATGCTTGTCAACTATGTTCCAGCTAGTCATCAAGTTACAGATGGGTTTACTAAACCGTTATCCAAATCTTCGTTGAGCAATTTCGATCCAAAGTACAAGTTTTCTCATTTGGTCAAGGAAAAGGAAAATAGTAAGGAGAATATTAGAGATGTAGGTTGTTGTTCAATGCTGTGCAATTACTGTAGTTGTTGTGTAGCTAAAAACTTGTTAAGTTTGTTAAAGCTGTTGCCAAAAATTGTTAAGCTTGCCAGCTAGACTAATAGACGGTTATGCCAGCTAGGCTAGTAAAAAGTTATAGTTTTACCTATATAAGCTTGTCATTGTATTGTTGAAATTCAGATAATAAGAATACATTTTTGTTAAACTTGTTGTGACTTTCTCAACATCCCACCAAATTAAAATTTGGGCAAGTGAGAAAATTATCATTTTGTTGAACTGACCTTGGGGCAAGTGGATCACGACCCAGCTGGAATTTATGGTTGCAGCCCCAAGCCCACAGTCCACCGCGGGAATCAATAGCGAGCGAGTGATAATGACTGGCGTTGATGCTGGTGATATCGGAAGGGAGGCCGAGGACTCGGGTGGGCTCGTAAGCGTTGCCTCTGACCCGTCACTGAATCGGGTAGACCCAACGCCCCTTGGCTTCCGTCTCCAAAGCTCATTACCACACTCATACATCTCGGTTTATTAGTAGTACTCTGAGCGAATAAGGCTTTAGTTAAAACTGCAAGTGCCATTTTATTCCATCGATGATGATTCCACAAGAATCAGTTTACCTGCATCCATTCTTTGTGAGTGTGTCGGCAATGGCGGATCTGCATAGAAAGACCCAACCCATTTCAAATTGGGTCGATTTCCGATGCTATGAACTTTTGGTAATTGGATTTGTTTTCAATTTTCTCATTGAGGTATTTCATTGGGCTAAATAATATTTTGGTCCAGTAAATTATATTTTATTATAAGTTTCGTACATGAAGACATTTTTTATTCAATTTTCCTATAAGATGAATAAAATATATATTTTTTGATTACTTTTATTTTAATTGTCAATGACTATCGTATTTTATTATTATGTTAGTATTGATGGTGGTTATCCTTTGTCAATCATAATGATGTTTATTTGTATTTTTTATTATTCAAGTTGTTTAGTTGAATTTTTATATTTTTTAATATAGTTCTATTTTTATTCTTTAATGATTTTATAGAAAATCACTTGTTAGTGTATTTTACTCATAAAAAAGGCAGGTTTAGTTAATGTTTATCTGACAAAATCCAGATTTTTTGGTTGAGAATCTAGCAGGGAAAGAACCATGGTGGAGAGCCAGCCAAGTGGCATAGGAGATTCACTTGTCAGCTACACCCACATCATCTCTTATCCATTGAGTCTAACCAAGTATTACGTGTACAATCCTTGTTGGACATCCAGATCACAACCTCATCTGCTATCACCAGGATTTCATCTCCGCCCCTAAGTAGTGGCTTACATTCACCCTCTTATTTCCTGCCTTAAGCTCTCATTTTGAAGGCCAGCTCTCAGATTACTACTCACAAACAAGGCAAAAATGGCAACACAAGCGCTCGTCTCATCATCTCTTACCTACTCAGTGGAGACCGCTAGGCAGATTCTTGGAGCCAAACCCCAAATTGGGTCTTCAAGGAAAGGATCCTTTGTTGTCAAGGCAGCTTCCACTCCCCCCGTTAAGGTCTCCTTTAACCCTAATCAGTAATCTCTCATCTTTTATATATTGTTGTCATTGTTGTTTAGACGACCCTTGTTCATGTGGTGTTTTCCAGCAAGGAGCTGTTAGACCCTTGTGGTTTGCATCTAAACAAAGCCTTACATACTTGGACGGCAGGTAAAAACGAAATTACAGATTGCAATTTCATGATAATCTCGTCTTCTTGATACATATTTCTCAACAGTCTTCCAGGCGATTATGGATTTGATCCACTGGGGCTCTCGGACCCCGAAGGCACAGGAGGGTTCATCGAGCCAAAATGGCTAGCCTACGGCGAGATCATCAACGGGCGTTACGCAATGTTGGGTGCAGTCGGTGCTATTGCACCTGAAATACTCGGGAAAGCCGGTCTCATCCCAGCAGAAACAGCACTCCCTTGGTTTAAAACAGGCGTGATCCCACCGGCCGGAACATACGACTATTGGGCGGACCCTTACACATTGTTCGTGTTCGAGATGGCACTCATGGGATTCGCCGAGCACCGGCGTTTCCAAGATTGGTACAACCCGGGTTCCATGGGGAAACAATACTTCTTAGGATTCGAGAAGTACCTTGGAGGGTCCGGTGAGCCGGCGTACCCCGGTGGACCGATCTTTAACCCGCTCGGTTTTGGGAAAGACGAGAAGTCGTTGAAGGATCTGAAGCTGAAAGAGGTGAAGAATGGGAGATTGGCTATGTTGGCGATCGTGGGGTACTTCATACAAGGTCTGGTGACGGGCGTAGGGCCGTATCAGAACTTGTTGGATCACTTGGCTGACCCTTTCAACAACAACATCTTGACTAACCTCAAGTTCCATTAGATGAAAGTGGCCTGCCTGCTTAGTTTCCATGGAGCTACCCTCCATTTCCAAATCTCTTTATTGATCTCATTATAACATGTGTAAATTTATTATGTAATCCGTCCGAAAGAACTGAAATAGACTTTTATTAATGCCTCTGAAATATGGTGAGTTCCTTTTTCATCTATGTTGCTGTCTCAAACATTCATAAAGAAACGTACATATGGTGAATCCATTTATACAATGTAAAATATTTTTAATTTTACATAGATTGAGGAACGTTAGTGTAACCCTTAAATTTGGTTTAGATGTTACAGTCAAATCATTAAAAGTCACATTAATCATCGAAGTGGTTCATAATTTAATTCAGAAATTTAAACAGACAAAATCATATTTATCCTTAAATTTGGTTTAGATGTTACATTCGAATCATTAAAAGTCACATTAATCATCGAAGTGATCCTTAATTTAATTCAAAAATTTAAACAGACAAAATCATATTTACAAATAGGTTATCCAATTATTGCCTTTTATTAGAAAATAATATAACAAAATATGATTTAAATTCGAGATTCAAATCTCCAAGATGTCGGTCCAATTTTAATGTCCATAAATATAGAAATAAAATTGGACCATAAATATATAAATGAAAAAAAATAAAAGTGATGAGCTATAGAATTCAATGCGGTCAAAATATGTGTATAAACATAGTTTTCAAAAGGTCATACAATCATACACAACAATTTTAGAAACACATATAAACTAGAATGCATACATAAGCTAGTAAGTTCATAACTAGCCAACCATCAGCTAAGCTTCGTAGGAACAAATTCTCCATTATTCATAATCAATGGAACATCAAATAGGATGCGACGAATTGCATAAACAAAGGTGGTGATTGTTAAAATTCAAAAAAAATAATTTGTGGGAACTGTGTACACAATAGGAGCAATAAATTGCTAAAACATGAGTGGTCCACTAAACTTCCTCCTTCACATCTCAACCAATGAAATCACAAGTGTGACATGCTTATAAAGATCAAATGACATCCAATGTCTCGTATACTACAGAAATCAAAGTAGTTTCAAGAGTATGCACAAATAAATGACAAGTCATGAAACATATTGTATAGAGAGTCGTAATTCAAGAAACATATTATCCAGACAATCACAGTTCAAAAAATTTATTGCTCAGACAGTCGAATTAAGAAACATCTTGTTCAAATAGTCATAGTTTATGAAGTATATTGTTCAAACATCTCAAAGATAATTCAAAAATATGTGATTCGTACATCTCACATATAATTCAGAAACATATTATTCGGACATCTCACATATAATTCAAAAACATGTTTGATAATTAATCAATAATTATACAATTTAGAATACAAATCGTAGTCATGTAGACAAAGGCACATAGATTCAGATACATCACCACGATATCGATCAAAATTTAATTAATTTCAAATTTAGTAAAAAAATTATTAAACAAAATTAAAATTAAAATAGTTATAGAACATATTAAATTCGTTGATCAAGATCTTTTTCTCGATCGGAAATAGAGTCGGGACCATATGATGGACACACTTTTCGATTGGCTTAATCAACCACCAAAACATGACTTCAATTTGATGAAAAGACAAATATAGTATGGGTGTACAGATTAATAAAATTACAAAGAGCGATGGCTTGAAGAAAAACAATAAAGAATTTTGATCTGACGAAGTAAAATGGTTTCGGTGTGAGATGTTTCTCAATGGGCGTGAACGGCTTGATGAAGCAATTGAAGGAATGCCTCGAACATGGCTCCAAGGCGGCAGTGAAAATACAAGCAGGAACCTTCAGGTTTTTCATTTTCTTATTATGTATAATAGATAAAATAATTGATATATAAATAAATAAACAAACAAATAAATAAATATAAAAGGAAAAACACGGTGAACTGTATTTTAAATTTATGTATGGGTTAATCATATAAAAGTTTACAAACTTTTCAGAATTTTTTAAAATGCCCCTAAAATTTATAAGGTTAAAACATATCTCTAAATTCACAATTATTCAATCTAGTCTCAGATTTGAAATTAAAGCCAATAAAATTTTCGAATTATAGAGACTAAAATATTAGTCTGGATTTTGGGGTGACAAATAGATGAGTGAAAATAGACGATTGAAATTAACTTGTTTTCCCCCCAATAAATATCTTCTCATTTTCATATTGTTAATCTCAATAATCTATTTTCACTTATCTAACGGTCTTAAATCTATGTAAAACTAAAAAAGTTTATAAATGGATCCCAACTATATATATATATACAGGGATAGAGCTTCCTTAGGGCCCAAGGGGGCCCGACTCCTATTAAAATTTATATATTCGATATAATTTTGATTTAATAGTATTTTGGTTCATGTAAAAATAAATATTTAAATTTTAAAAATATAAAAATTTATTAAATATTTAATCAAGTAAGGGTTGAACTAAAGAATGATAAGTATATGTTCTAATTTTTTTGTCTAATTACAATTTAAGTCATTGTAAATTAAAATATTAGACAAATTAGAAGTTGTCTTATGAGTTTTGAGTTTTTTAAAAAACATTTAGGGTGAATACAATGTGATATATGTACAAATATTTTCAACTATTTGACAATGAACACTCATACCCCTACATATGTGCTTGAACTAGGGACCTCAAGGATAACAACAATCCCTTAATCACTAAGGTCGTTTGGTTCATGCTGAATTTCGAGTTTAAATACCTAACAAGTCTTTATATTTTTCTTAAATAGTCTAATATTTCGACCCTGCCAATATTTAATTCTAGCTCCGTGCCTATATATATATATATATATATATAGATATAGATATAGAGAGATAGAGATATAGAGAGAGAGAGAGAGAGAGAGAGAGAGAGAGAGAGAGAGAGAGAGAGAGAGAGAGAGAGAGAGAGAGAGAGAGAGAGAGAGAGAGAGAGAGAGAGAGAGAGAGAGAGAGAGAGAGAGAGAGAGAGAGAGAGAGAGAGAGAGAGAGAGAGAGAGAGAAAGAAAAAGAGAAGAGAAGTGTATTAATAAAATAAAAGATGTAAGATAAGTAATTAAAAGCTAGAAGTGAAGAAACTTTTATATAAAAATCGAGTAAAAAATTTCAACAAATAATTTATACTTTATCTAGTAATCTTAAATTAAGTTTTAAAAGCCATTTATTTATAAAAGAAACTTACCACTTTCCACTCCATCGAAATTATACTTTATCTAAATGTCTTTTTCTCACAATTGTCATTATTTTTTAAATTACAAAATAGTTGGCGAGAGAAAGAGAAAGATCATGTGTGGAAGTCAAAGCTCTGGGTGCGCACGATAGCATGTTTACTATGGGTGCACGTTAGTAGGTCTAACGGAACCGAGTCCTCCGGTGCGTCTCCGACGGCCTTTCCTTTTTTTTCTTTGGGTTCACTCTTTGTATCTCCTGCTGCATTTCCCTTTCGTATTCTATGGACTGGAGAAAGTTATTCGGTTGCCAAGCAGGACAAGAGCTTCAATTTTTCCACCAAAATCTTGTGACCCAAATCCAATCGTTCAGCCTCCTCCAGAAGTCTTTGAAGCCGGTATAGCAGAATGTAAGACATCTCTTGTTGGCCAATTCCTCGGGGCTGCCCCCAATTTCGCCACAATACAGAGGATTATCAAGAATTTGTGGAATAACCCTAATAAGGGGGTTCATGTTCAAGTGAGTTTTGCTGGCAATAACCTTTACTTATTCACTTTCAATTCTGATTCTGTGAGAAATTGGGTACTAGAGAATGGTCCGTAGCATATCTTAAATAAGCCACTAATCCTAAGGAAATGTGAACCTAATTCAAAGAGATTACACTTTGATCTTTCCCGAATTCCCTTATGGGTTCATCTTTACAATGTCCCTCTTGAGTTGTTTTCGAGAGAGGGTCTTAGCTACATAGCTAGTGGCATAGGAATCCCTCTCACTATGGATTCGATCACTGCCTCAAAGTCTAGATTAGAATTTGCCAAAATATGTGTTGAGGTAGGAGTGAAAGATGAGATCCCTAAATCTATTGAAGTAATTCTTGCTTATGGTCAAACTACTTCTGTCTTTGTTGAAATCCTATGGCTTCCTTTTAGTTGCAAAAAATGTAATACCTTTGGTCATAGTGAGAAAGACTGCCTGGCAAAAAATTCAACTAGTACTAATTCTGCACAAGTCTGGAGAAAGAAAGGAGAAATTCTTCATGTTGCTGAGAACAACTTACCTGATATTAATGATACTTCTCAAGAAAAGTTGACTATAGATTTTGCTTCTCATAATGAAAATCCTTTAACATAATCAGCCTCTTTTAATGAACCAGTTCTTGATCCCACTGTTAAGGATGTTTATCCTTCATCCTTCTCTGTTCTAACAGAACTCTCAGATGCTTTAAAAGAATCTAGTTCTCTTAAAGACTCATCATGTTCTACTTTGTCTCCTTCTGTTCCTGTTGTTGTTAGTGATCTTCACCCTTCTTCTACTGACTCACCTAATGCCCATGTTCCTCTTATTGATGCCTCTGTTATGGATCATCTTCCTCATTCATCTCCTGAAAAAATGAAATCTTCATCTCTTCCAGAAAGAGGCAGAGGTAGGTCTATTAAGATCAAAATCAAGAATGTTCTCAAAGGATCCTCAAATAGATTCGATGTGTTAAATTCTGTGGATGAAAACTCTTCTTCCTTAGAAGATCAAAGTAAGAAACAAAGGTCTGCTTCTTTAAGAGTGACTCTTTTGATCAAAGATCTTAAAAATAAAAAGAAAGAACACCTTGGAAAAGCTAAATGTGATGCAGAAAAGGTCAATGGGGGTAAACATGTCTCTTTATCTCAATGATCATCAGCTTCTGGAATGTCAGAGGATTAAACAATCCTCATAAATAAAATAAAGTCCTTCAAAGAGCTATTATGTATAAGATTAATGTTCTCTGTTTGATGGAAACTAGGGTAAAACCTGAAAAATTTGAAGATTTATATAATTGCAAATTCAGCAACTGAAACTATTTGACAAACTATGATTTTGCTTCCAATGGAAGAATCTGGTTTCTTTGGAAAAAAGATTGGACCTCTCTTTTTGTCAAGATTCTACCCAAAGTATCACTGTTAAAGGTCTCAGGTATGGTCTCCTTTTTTATATTTCAGCTATTTATGGTAGCATTGATGGTACTCAAAGAAGATATTTATGGCAGCACTTAAAGGACCTTGACTTCAACTATGGATCTTTTCCCTAGATTCTAGGAGGAGATTTCAATATAATCCTTCACCCTACTGAAAGTTCAGACCATGACATTATATGTCCTTTTATTTTCTCTGAAATGAAGGATTTCCAAGACACTCTCTATGATCTCCTTCTTCAGGATCACCCTTACTTTGAGCCAACATTCACTTGGAGCAATAAGCAAAAAGACTCATTCCTTGCTAAGAAACTTGATAGAGTTCTTGTCAATTCTTATTGGGTCTCCTCTTTTCAAAATTCTTTTGTGGAATTTGTTGCTCTAGGACCTTCTGATCATTGCATGGCCCTTGTCTGGCTCTATAAATATTCTCAAGCTAATCACCCCAAACCATTAAAATTCTTTAATTTCTAGACCAAGTATCCTACCTTTCTCCTTGAAGTTCAAAATTTCTGGCAGCAGCCAATTCATGGAAATCCTATGCTGTCTCTTTTTCTCAAACTAAAGAGATTGAAGATTTGCTTGAAAAATTTAAGCAATGACTGTTATAGTAACATTTCTGCAAGAGTTAAACAAAAGAAAGATGAGCTTGAACATTTCTAACTCTCTACTCTCCAAGAAAACATCTCTATTGATATTGAACCGAAACTGCAGAATGAACTTTATACTCTAGAAGCTACTGAAAGTATGTTCTTAAAACAGAAAACAAAAATTCAATGGCTCAAGGAGGGTGATAAATGTTCTAAAATTTTCCACTCAGCCATTGCTTCATAAAACAAAAAAGACACTATAAGAGTTCTTAAAAATGAGCAAGGCAATAGACTAGAATCTTTTGATGAAATAGCCTCTGAAATTATTCTATACTTCCAAAATCAATTGGGCAAGGCTGATCCAAATGTTAAAGACATTGATCATCTAGCTCTTAAACACCTTCTTAAGCTCAATCTTTCTTCTGAAACTACTGCAGAACTGGAAAAAGACATCACTGCAGAGGAAATTAAAGAAGCATTCTTTATTCAAGGAAATGACAAGGCACCCGGTCCTGATGGATTTACTCCTTACTTCTTTAAATTCACCTGGTCAGTGGTTGGGGAGGATGTCATTAAGGCTATTAAATTATTTTTCAACAATTCCTACATTCTGCCAGCTTTTAACTCCACTATAATTGCCTTGGTTCCTAAAATCACTAATCCTAGCAAGGTAAAGGATTATAGACCTATCTCTTGTTGCTCAGTCATCTATAAATCTATTACCAAGATTCTTGTTAAAAGGCTGACAAACCTACTACCTGAAATCATTACTCTAAACCAGTCAGCCTTTGTCAAGGGTAGAAATATAATTGATAATACTCTTCTCGCACAAGAGCTTGTTAAATGATATGGAATGAAAAATATTTCACCAAGATGTGCTATCAAGATTGATCTTCAGAAAGCTTTTAACTCTATTCATTGGGGCTTCATTTCATCAATTCTTAAAGCCATCAATCTGCCTCCTAAATTCACTGCCTGGATTGAAACTTGCTTCATTGAAGCTAGATATTCAATCTCTCTTAATGGTTCATTAGTTGGTTATTTCAAAGGAGAAATAGGTTTAAGGCAAGGTGATCCTTTATCACCCATCCTGTTTGTTCTAGCTATGAATATTCTTTCAAAAATCCTCAACACTGATGCTGCCAGAGGTATATTCGGGTACTATCCAAAATGTAAACAAATTGGTCTCACTCATTTAACATTTGCAGACAATCTTCTTATTTTCTGTAAAGGAAATTTGGAATCAGTTATTGTAGTTACCTCTGTTCTACAGAAATTTTATGAAATATCAGGGCTTCAACTTAATGTAGCCAAATCTGATCTTTTTGCTGCTGGTATCTCAATACGAAATCTTGAATCTATCTTAATCTCTACCAATTTCAAGCATGGTCTCTTTCTAGTCAGATATCTTGATGTTCCCCTTGTCACCAGAAAACTTACAGCTACTGACTTCTCTTCCCTTATTGAAAAAATCAGATCAAAAATTCATCTATGGTCTGGGAAGCATCTCATCTATACAGGAAGACTAGAACTTGTTAAAACTGTTCTCCAAAGTTTTGCTAACTTCTAGTGCAGACAATTTCTTCTCCCTCAAGCTGTTATTAATAGAATTAATCAGCTATGTTCTTGTTTTTTATAGAAAGGTACTGATATTGCTGCTACTGGAGCTAGAGTAAGCTGGAGTAACATATGCTGTCCTAAATAAGAAGGTGGGCTGGGCTTAAAAGATCTTAAAACTTGGAATAAGGTGTGCATGATACAACTTATTCGTTCTCTTCTTGTTGGTGAAGGATCACTTTGGATTGCCTGGATTTATACTTATGTGATTAAATCCAAAGAATTCTCAAAGATGTCGAAAAATGTCTCTTATAGATTCTGCTTTAACAGGCTATTGAAACTGAGATCTGAGGCCATCCCAATTCTTAATATAGGAGTTTCTAATTCTAAAAGCATTTGGGAAGAGTTACGTATCAAGCATGAAAAGGTTTTTTGGCACAAACTTGTCTGGTTTCCCCTTCATATTCCCAAATTCAGCATCATTTCTTGGCTTGCAGTCTTGGATCGGCTTCCTACCATAGAAAGACTTATTCGTATGGGAATTACAACTGTAGGCTCTTGTATTTTATGCAATAATGCCCTTGAAACAAGAAATCACTTGTTTGCAGATTGTGCTATGGTTGCTGCTCTTTGGAATGAAATTCTAAATCTTTCTCTCTTGGACAAGCCTCATATGTCTTGGGATTCTAATCTTGCTTGGGTGTCTTCGACTTGGAAAGGAAATCTATCCTTACAACCATCTTGAAGATTGCTTGGTGTTCTTTCATTTACTATGTTTGGGAAGAAATAGACGTTTATTCCAAGGACGAGTTAGAACCATTGATGATTTTCTTTATTCCATTAAGGAGATTGTTAGTACTCAACTTAGGAATAAAGTTATTAACATACTTGATTTTGTTAATAAGCAACTTAGTACCAATTGGGGTATAGGATAAACATTCTTTTGTTGTAAATAGCTTGACTTGATCCTTGTTTGGGATGCTTCTTTGGATAATAAAATTTACTTATCCAAAAAAAAAAAATCATGTGAGAGTTGGGCAGCCCTTTGAATTAGGAATACAAAGTAGGTGCATTACTTTTAAAATTTTTAAATTTCGAGAACACTTTGTCATGATCTTGTTTTACTGATAATTAAGTATAATAAATGTCCGATTTACTTCTTCAAATCATTGACCAAGCACTTGGGAAGTATTTCGGGTTAAGTAATAGTATATTAATGCTTCACTTTGAAAAGGAAAACACCCAAATTACGCGTAAACAAATTTATCAAATGGATCTAAACCGGAGTTACCATAGCAAATGGTCAATTTTAAAGTGCCGGCACCTCAAATTTCATTAGCAAAAAAATTATCTAAATAAAATTTCATTAGCAAAAAAAAATTCATTATATAGAAGAAATTCTATTTAAATAAAAACTTGTTTCTATTTCAAATTTTGACTCCTAATCAAATTTAAACTTATATATATTTTGTATAACCAAAAATAAAAATGTATATTATTTTGATCTTAAATAATTAAGTTGTTTTATGATTTTAATCCCTGATTTTTTTTATTTCTCTTTTATTGTAAATTATTTTAAACCAAATTTAAACCATATGTTTCTCAAATTATTTTGATCTTGTACGGAGCTTCAATTCCCCTACATCTGTCGCCGGTTCTTCTTCCAATTTCTTTATCAATCTTTTATTCAATGGGTTTTTGTTTGTACATTTGATCTGCCAAATATGAATCTGTTAAGCTGTCTATATTCTATACATGGTTTTCTGTTAATATGAATAATTCTCAAGTAATTTTTTGTTCTTTATATTGGGGTGTGTTCATTTTATTGTTTGGCTTTTTGTTATATAGATCTACTGCTTGAAGTTTGACTCAATGAAATTATTTTATATTCTGACATCTGGGTTTTCTTCTTTTGTTGTTTTATTATTTTAATTAATCCTGCGTTAGGGATAAATTTGTGTGGTAATTGGTTGCTGTTTTTTCCCCTTTGTGTAGTAATTGGTTGTTGTTTCCTCCCCCTTTGTGTAGATTTCTTTTTATACTGGGTGCTTCGGGTTGCAGTAGCTTAGATTAGCGCCATATTCTGCAAGATCTGCTATTATCATGGCTTTCTCAGAAAGGGAGATGCCTGGAGTTTGCTGGCTTTTTATGTTACTGCGTCTGTTTGCTCATTTTTGTGATGGATTTTACCTTCCGGGGAGTTACATGCACACGTATTCTACCAAGGATACTATATTTTCCAAAGTTAATTCCTTTACTTCTATCGAAACCGAGCTTCCTTTCAGTTATTACAGTCTCCCTTACTGCCAACCTCTTGGTGGGAGTTAATAGAGTTGGTGGGATGAATTTCCCGCAATAAATGTTGCGCTGACGTCTCGAGTATCGATACTCCAACCAAGAATATCGGTATTACCTGCTTTAAAAACATAAAATTTGACCTTTGGAAGAGGAGAATATCAGTATTCTAGTATGAGTATCGATACTGGTATAATATCAATACAAAAAATGACTACTGGAATTCGTCTTTATCAAAATTATAAAAAGAGTATCGGTACTCCCATCCAGCGTATCAATACTACTGCCTATTTTATCTCAATGGTATCGATACTAGTATCGGTACTGTAGGGCTTAAAATAAAATTTTCACTCGATTAAAATCTGAAACCCTTGTAAAATTGTTTTAAAATTATTCCGGTATATATGAATTTAATTTTCAAGAAGAGTAAGGAGTAAAAATGGGTTTTTGACCTTAAAAAGAATTTCAATATTCGAACGATTTTATCAAATATAAATTTAAAAATTGAATATAAAACAATATTAAAATTTCTTTAAAATAATATTCATATCAAAATAGAAAGCATGGTTAAACGCATTCCCATTAAGCAACAAAGTCTTATCCTGTAAAGGCAAAACACACAACCCGGTGGGTAAACTGGTATCCACAGAAAGGATTATTCCTGGCAAAACATGGTTATTTCCTGAATATCTAAGCCCGATAGTCCCTAAAACAACAATTGACTTCCCTTTGTCTCACCCTTTAGACCCTTTTTGTACCTGTGTAATGGTTATTGTTACATCAGTAAGAGGAACACTAGGATCCAAATACTTTGTTTCCACTATGTCCGGTTTTGAGCAATCGTTGCAAACCTGGAAGAATTACTCGTCCCAGCTTTTCCACCACTGACCGTAGCTGCTTCAGCCGTTTTCCGAGGTCATCTTTTCCTCGAAGCTGCAACCATCCGAAGTCCAAATAAATCATCCCATGCATTCTTCTGCTTTACAACTTCATTCTCCTTTAAAATTTGAGGATCCACAGCCTGGTTGCTAGCACTTGAATTGGTGCTTACATCTTCTTTAGAAACACACAAATCTTTAGAATGTTCATATGTTCCACATCGAAAGCATATTAGTTACAGACCTTCATACTTAATATTTTGAATACAATTATCGGTTTTGGTGCAAGGTAATAGCCGACTATTTAGATCAAGTGCCACCGCCAATCTTGCAAACTTACCCCTCTCCCCACATTAGTATTATAATCTACTTTGATAACATTACCAACTTCGGAACCAATCAATTTAAATAAGGCCTTAGAGTAATATTGATATGGGAGACCTAGCAAATGAATCCGAACGATCACCTTTGATGGATGATCTTCAGAAGTGCTGAAGTCCCGACTCCATGGTTGTACGATAAGATAATCACTAAAAATCACCCAAGGGCCATCGGTTAAAACTCGTGTATAATCACCCTCATTTTCCAGGTGAACCAAATAATAGTTATTATCTAGATCGATGAGTTGGAAGTTACCTTGTGGTTGCCAAAGCGCCTTGATTTTATTCCATAGCACCCGATAACCGATCGATCGACCCAGGAGACGAACAATAACCGTCCTCCGTATATTAAAATCAATACCATCATGAACCCCGTTAGAGAATTTAATGATCGGATATGGACCATTCCGGTCGATCACAACATCACCTTCTTGGATATTCACATCCGCATCCACAAAACCATTGTTATCTCCGTGGCACCAACAGTTGAACCCTTGACCATTGATGCATATGAAACCTTTTGGACACTGGCGGTTGGTGGAGGATCAGCACATTGGGGAGGAGAATCATTAACACTAGCAATCGCCTCACCCATCGCAATATCGCCACCGTCCGATCCTCCTTTTGCCAAACACTGCTCATCACTAGCATGAACACTGTCATTTCGAGGGGTCTGTGACAAACGAATGCTCTCCGCCGGTAAAGGGGACCCCGACCAACCAATCATTGACACCGCCAGTGACGACTGTACCGTATCTCCCATGCACAAACTCTAGAACCAAAACTCCGAAAATCTTGGAAGCAGAGTCAACTCTGAGATTTTTTTTTGCCTTTAGTTATGGAGAAATTTGCCACAAGAAACTATGTAAATCTGGAATTGGCATTCCATATGAATCTATTAATGACCGAATTTCGTGTGATTTGATGTTTTTTATTACTCAATAAGTGAACTTGATGACATTGAGGAAGACTATTAGGGACCAAAAGCATTAATATAAAAAAACACTTATTGAAATGAAGTCGGAAATTGAAGAAGATGGCATTCACTATGCTCGTCCACGGCTGAAGATCGGCGTTGCTGGTGACACCTGTTGAAAATATCCAAAATTTCTGCCATTGGGAACATCAAGCCAATCACTAATTATCTTTCTATAAGAAATTATAATATTATATATTTTACAATATGCTTATTGCTACTCTACTGAAAGTTTTATTAAAGTTCTAAATATTATATATTTTTACAATAACAAATTGAAGTAAAATAAATTTCAAGTTAAAACTAAATTATTACAATCAATTAATAAAATTATAAAATCTAAAAAAAAAGGAAAACTATTTTTTTAAAATTGTAACTAACGTTTTATATTCGCTTTGGTTTGATCACTCATCATTTGAAAAAGGCTTAATGTAAAAATAAGTGTCTAAAGTAGACTCAAAGTTAACTTTAGACCTCTAAAGTATTTTTTGTTAATAATAGGTACCTAAAGTTTTCTCTATTACACTTTTAAGTGCCTAAAGTATTTTTCATTAAAAATATGTGTCTAACTTTTTCTGTTACACTTTTAGGAGCCTAATATTTTTTATGTTATATTTTTAGGTGTTTAGACTATAACGATCGCTAAATTCGATCCTTAAGTAACATGTGTTAGACATATAAAAATTTTATTTAAAAACACTTAAAATTAAATTTTATTTTAAAAAACTCATTATTTTATGAAGTTATAAAAAAACCCAAAATCCCCCCGAAAAACCAATTTCAGTCCCTTAGCACCGTCGACCGCCACCAACGCCGTTAATCGGCCGAATACTCAACGCTTTTCAACTGGTCAACCACCCAACAGTCGAAATCCCTTATTTTTGCGACCGACCGAACACCCAATGGTCTTGTAAATACAAGATTTTGCGATCAGCCGAAAGGGGTTCTCCACACTGCAATTGTCGATTGGGCGTTGCAATTAGAGATTGGAGCAAAGGTTTCGACCTTGGGTGTTCAGCTGGTCTCACTCCGTTGGAATTTCGGCCAGTTGATGGCGGTCGGCTGTGGCAATAGGATTGAAATTAGATTTTTGGGGAATTTTGGAATTTTTTTATAATTAAAAAAAACGTTTTTAAATAATTTTTAAAATTCCTCTTTTAATTTTTTTTTAAATTATATAAAATTGACACGCGTTACTTAACGGTCGTTACATTCT